AAAAAAAGAGGTTTGTACCTATGTTGTTTATTTATTATTTATTGCCTATATCTTGTCATATGAGAAACTACTTTGGCAGTAACAATATACAATGTATTAACCATTGTTACTCTCCTAAAATCTTGTTTTGAGATTTTGTACCACTGTTTTTATTTTTTTTCTTTAAAATAAAATAACTGATGTCAAAAAAAAATACCAAAAGCTAAAGAAAAAAAAAACAAAAACAAGGAGTCTCTACATATATGGATGACATAGTGCTATGTAACTCTGACTGGATTTTAAATACTGTAGAATCTTCTGCTTCTGAAGTCTGATGTTGAAGAATAAGTTATGACGTCATATATAGCTTTACATATGTAATGGTTTATATAACAGAATAGGAACCATCAGATTCAAAGTCATGTAATGTTTGTATAACATTATATGAACACATGGTTCATATAACAGAATCCAAAAGAAACAGTTAGGGATTCTGTGAGCAGTCAGAATACTATGATCCCCAATCTCTTTTTGTCTTTTGGAATGTGTCTCAGCCACATTGGTAGAAATAAATTGGGTTCAGTTGTGAGCTTTTAAATTAAAAAAAAAAAAGTTCATCTGGGCCGCTGCCAAGCAAGTCACAGCCCAGCAGCTGAGTCCTAATCAAATATGCGTTTAGGCTATATATAGCAGACTAGTAGGCTGCCGTAAACGAAGATAAACTTCAGCCATTTGTGGGAAAAGGGACGCTCCTTGAGACCAAATGTCAAGTGAAATAAATCCAACACACGCACTGAAATGTTTCATGGTTTCTTCTACATAAGAAACCCAAAGCGTAAGCAGCACAAGCTAAGGCAGTAGGAAGCAGAGAGCCAGAGCGGGCCCAGGTGGGCGGGAGACCAAATGCGTGCCAGAGGACAGGAAGAGGACTGAGAGATGCATGGTGCTGGTAGGCAGACACGGAGTGCCTGAACGACAGCCATGTGCAAAGAGCTAACCATCAGGTGTGCACTGGGGCAGGTCTTTGTAAGCCTCAAAGCAATTTGATATTGAAGATGGTAAGTAATTCTCCATTGACAAGTTTCCTCTGACTTGGTGGAGACCCCATCTGGGGTGCTAGGGAACTACTGTGGACATTAAAGGTATTTCTTCATTAAAAAGAAATGAATTACACCACGACAGCGGGCTTCAGTCATGTCAGCAAATGAGTGTGCTAACTGTAGACTCAACAGCTTGCTTCACAGCACTTGGGCGTGCATAAAAGAGGCGTGTTGGTGGATGTGCGGTAGGTAACGTTTCCACGGCTCAGTTCCACGCACGCTGCACCACTTAGGGCTAGAAAGGAGCTTTCCAGGAAAGGAGTACATTAAATAACTCACCATTTGAAATAGCCAATATTTGGCCCAAAGGTTTAGAAAGAATGACTGTGGCTTCTTAAAGAATTAACTTGTTCAGGAGACATCTTCTAATTTTCTTGGTAGACACAACCTGCTGAGTGACCGTGATAAACTTCGGTCCCTGTGGAACTGGTGCTCTCAGTTGTGTGTGTAGTGACTAAGAGTGAAAAAGGAGTCTCGGCTGGAATTCCAGCTTTTGGGAATGCCCAGCAGGGAGGCACAGGTGGAACAGAGGATCCTGCAAGGACGGGGATTTGAGCTGACACCTGAAGAGGGAACAGCATTTGTCACAACTGTCAGCTGAAGGTGCGCAGCTGTGCTCTGCGCGAGCGAGAGGACGTCAGGACCGGGGCATTCAGGGCCTCCTCAGGCCCCAGGTTAGGGAGCAGATGGCCTAGGGGTGGAGGCGCGGTGCGCAGGAGGGAAGAAGCAAAAGCTGGAGTGGAGAAACAGGGTCATAGGCTCCTAAGCCACGTGGCGTCCACCAGGACACGAGAGTCTACAGGTTTTCTCAGGGCAAAGTTATTTCAGATTTCTATCTCATAACATTGTTTGGTGTGTAGTGTGGACAATGGGTCGGGAAGGAGCATGGAATCTACATAACTGCTGACCAGGAGTAGAAGAGAAAGCGTCCACAGCGGCCGGAGAGGATTGACAGCTGCAGCTCCCTGTGCACGCGTGACGCTGCCTGGCTTCCTTTTGATTGGTATTGTTTACTCTTGCAAACCCTGGAACCCCAATATGGAATCTCTGACATGACAATTCCCCAGTTTTTTTTTTTTTTTTGAGGCTGTGATAACTGTATTCAGCATTTTACATTTTTGTTCTTTTCCACAACGGAAATTATATCCTAAAATCATCTTTAAAGTATTTTGGGTATTTTTTGTTGTTGTTTTTGTGTTTGGTACTGGGCATCAGACTTAGGACCCTGCACTTGTTGGGCAGGTGCTTAAGCCAATGAGCCATCTCCCCGTCTCTACAATATTTTTAAGCCACACAAACATTATTTTTGAACAGCTCAAGTGAAGTTTCAATTGATGCGAGACATCAATCTTTTCAAATGCTTCACACTTTTTCTACTCTAGCAGTTTCTCGGTACCTTGAAGGGACAGTGGCTAGTGGGTTGACCCCTCATCATGTCCCATCGTGTCAACAACTAAGAAACTGCTCCCTAAGCGAACGTTCAACCTCTTCTTCTTCTTCAATGCATGGTTATTGGTTAATTTGCATTCAAGCTGCGTGCTAGTGTCATGATGACTTCAGTTAAATAATTAGCTCACTGCTGCGAGGGAAGGGCTGCAAACGCTGACAAGACTGAAGTGCATGCTTTAGGAGGGAAGAGCTAGAGCCCACAGCCACCGCTCGCTTTCGACCCTTGTGGAGTGACGACTGTTTCACTGGACACTTCTCTTTTCTTAGTAGATAGAAGCAGTGCAGCAATTTTTTACTGTGGAGAAATCACTTAGCTTTTTCTTTAATGATTGCAGTGTCATGCTTTGCTCTAGGGAAAATGTTTTTCCCTGAGTCTTAAACATTCCCAAAACACCACCCTGCACAACAGAATAAATAGATCAAATCTGTAATCACTAGATGAGCTAGTAGAGCTGGCTGCATTTGCTAGCCTGCTTACTTCAGAGCATCAGATGGTAACACAGCGCTCTAAAATCCAGGCAGCTCTCGGGGGCCACTGAGTACCAGTGCATGGCTCCATGGCGACTACTAGGAGGGTGTAAGGAAACAGCTTTCGTTGAAACTACTCGGAAACATAACTTAGCCAAAGGAGTGCGCCACTCACTGAGCTTCTTCATGCAGTCGCGGAGTCTGGTCTCCAGGCTGAGCACCCGCTGGTGCAGCTCCTCGTAGTCATAGGCGCCAATCTCCTCCTGGATCCCGGTGAGGACCGCGGACAGGTTCCGTATCTCCTCCTTGAACTGGGTGACCAGCCTGGCGTCGGTCTTGTACTGCTCCAGCACTGGGATCAGGGGCAGAATCTCGTCCATCTTCTCCTTCAGCTCCTGTGAAGAGGAACGGACTGCTCTGCTGAACACTGTTTCTTTCTTTTCATTTTGATAGGTAAAAAAGGATCATTTCAACAGATTAAATTCTATATTTTGACCTTGATTTAAGATTTTTAATGAAAATATGAATGGCTACAGCATCATCAATAATAAACAGTTATCTCACCTTCCTGTAGAACCACCTCCTTTTTAATGGTCATAGGATTTGCTGTAAAACAAATCGACCCCTAGCATAGTTAGAAAGCCTCGCGATGATAGCGGTTATGGGTTTCTGTATTACCTCATGCTCTGAAGCTCCTTGTAAAGTGGACGACGCACCACAGAGCTAGGAGGCACAAACAGGGTCTAGCTCCTGATGAGGCCTGAAGTTCAAATGACCTTAGTAGGTAGGCCACATACCCTACCCTGTGGTTGCTAATTATCAAACGACAGAATATCTGTTTTATAGGAGTACCAACAGGAAATTTTGATTTTTTTTTCATCACCAAAGTAGAGTTTTTCTAACTGTGGTCATTCATTCCTTTGTCTTTCCAGTGGTACTGGTGCCTTGAGGCTCTTTAATATCTACCTAGCATGACTTTATCAGGAAGGTAAGTTTAGCAAGTATAAAGATCACACAAGGCTCAAAAATACATATTGCTATTTACCATTTTGAATTATTACCTATTCTCTGACCCCATTTGTCTTTGCATAGATAATTTAGAAGTCATTAATTAAGGAATACCTACATATCTATATAGTTACTTAATTTTTAAAAGTCCTAGGTGCCTTTAAAGAGTTAACTCAGAAGTAGCAAACCTCCCTATATGGGCTGGTGAGATAGCTCAGTGGACTGAATGCCTGCTTAGGTAAGCATAGGGAGCGGGCCTGATTCCCTGCACCACAAGCCACACCAGTGTGGCCCTGGGCATGCTGAGCTGGCCACAGAGACTGAGTGTGGTGGTGCACGCCTGTAATCCCACTGCTGCAAAGGCTAAAAACAGGAGGATCCCTAAGAGTCTGAACTGTGTAGTGAGACCCTGTACCAAAGAAAGGAAAGGAAAGGAAAGGAAGGAAGGAAGGAAGGAAGGAAGGAAGGAAAGAAAGAAAGAAAGAAAGAAAGAAAGAAAGAAAGAAAGAAAGAAAGAAAGAAGGAAAGAAGGAAAGAAAGAAAGAAAACAGGGTAGAAAACCTCTCTGTGCTAGCAGTTATGAACTCACATCTTATCTCATAGCCTGGCAGCACCTTTAAAGGCTTAGGCAACAGGACATCCAGTTGGACTGAATTTCCTGAATCTGAAATGCTGGTTTTTGTCAAAAAGAATAAATAGCCAAGCAGCGTCCCTCGCTCCTCACCATCATAGAGCTGGCCCACACCACAATTTCATCTGCAGTTTCAGGATGCGTCTTCCCTACTGCTCTACTTTTGACTTGGCAGCAATGGGCAACAAAAATATCTCCAGAGCTTGATTCCACTGCAGCTTGACAACAGCTGATGTCACTTGTGAAAGGGCCACCATTTTAAAGAGCCAGCAAGCGAGACACACCCGCAGGAGCCATTCTGGACACTTGATTTAAGGAAGTGAAAATTCACTTTTAAATTACATTTGGAAGATGCTATTACCATAAATGCACTAGGATAGCAGGGCTCCCACCGCCCATTTATAGGCTTGTGTTTCTTGTTATGTTTCTTGTGCTCCTATTTACAGGAGAGGTTTCTGTTTGCTCTGTAGATTCAGAAATCTCAGTGTTTGTGTTTTTGTGCATGTTGAGTAGAACAACAAGACAATCTTAGAGTGAGAAGCTTTCCTAAGCATCACAGACAAAAGGCGGAATTCTGGAACCTCACTCACGTTGGGACCTCCTTTTGAAATACAGTTACTATTTTGAGCATCTTTTGACATCTGGAAAGTGAGATGCAATTGTTTCTTTGGGATTTTGATAAGATGCTGTTGGCACTGTTTGCTGCATGTACTGCACAGGTACATATGGGTACTATATATTATACCTTACTACAGTTTAGATCAAGAATATACCTCAAGGACCTCATTGCGAGGTGTCTGGCTTTGAGAAGGAGATTGAATTCGGCCAGTGTAGCTGACTTACTCTTGGGGAGCGGGGCGTGGCCAAAGGGAGTCACTGAGGGCGTGACCGGGGGACGCATGCGCCCCTGCTCCTCTCTCCTCTCTGAGTCCCGGCTGTGCCCTGGAGCAGCTCTCCTCCCCGGGCCCTTCCACCACCCTGTCACTCTATTTAAGCTTGGACATATGGACTGAGCCTCCTGACCCATGAGCCAAAGCCAACCAAGCAACCAAGGGACCAACAAACCGAAGTGAACCACCTCCCACCTTTAGATTGCAGGACAGTCTCATAGTGACAAAAGGGAATGCGTGATGGGGATGGAGCACCGTGAACTCCCGCTGGTGTGGTTCTTCAGGTCACTTGTTATTTTTTCCTTGAGGGAAGGTCTTGCTAAGTCACTAAATTGCTAAATTTTCTAGGCTAGGCTAGAATTTGTGATCTTCTTGCCTCAGCCTCCCAAGCACTGGGATTACAGGCCTAACCACCAGCATAGCTCTTTTGCTGCATTAGTACAGAAATGATTACAATGAAGGTTTTATATTTTTCTTTGGGCATTTTTGAAGAGAGGAATTCAGTGTCAAAATTTTGTTAGTGGTTCTTATCCTCCTGAAACACACACACACACACACACACACACACACACACACACGTATTTTCTTTATCTTTGCAAAAATTGAGGATTAGATTTTGGGTAGTCTATTTTAAAACTGAAAAGACACCAGAAAACAGGAGAATGTCTTGCTCTTACAGAAAAAGCCACAGTACCTGACCAGACAACAGTCTTCCCACACACAAATGACAGTTCCAAGCACGAAAGCAAGCCTAAGTTTCCCATTGGAAAGGCTGCGCAAGGCAGAGTCTACTTAGCATGTTGAATAAGGTCAAAATTGTGCACCAGAAGAATATATTTTAAAAATATTTTTCAAAATTTAGCTTCTCTTTGGGGTGCTCCATTTCTTTTTTTAAAATATGGAAGTTCAGCAGCTGGGGTACAATCTCATTCATAGGGCACCCTCAGTAAACAAATACACAAGACAGTGTATAATTACATCCAATTATTATCGTGACTTTTTAACTCAGCAAGCTGACGTGTACCTGTAGAGGCACTGAGGCATTAGTAGGAATTGCTGTACATCTCAGGCTGCACTTGGGGGGTGTCAGTCTTCTTTCAGAGCCATGTTAGACCCACGGCGCTGGCAAGATATTCAGCTTCTTTGTGCATCAGTTTATGTTATGATGATAAAAATCATGCTTGCCTTGGAGGTTGTTGTGGGGGGTGAAATTAATTTATGCATTTGATGTGTTCAGCGTTGTGCCTCAGACACATGCAATTGTTCAGAAGAACAGTTACTGCTATACCAGTCCTGTTACTGGGAGCTTAATGGACAGCTTCAGCATATATTTGGGTAACTCGAAAGAGGAAAACCCAAGTAATTGGGTCAAAAGTTGCCTGATGATTTTTTTTGCAAGGTAATTTACACATTAGGAAAATGTTTTCTCTGAATTTAATTCAGCGTTGTTTCTTTCCGTGTCTTGTCCTGTTTCATCCCAGCAGTTTCTACAGGCATGCATGCCTCACCGTGTGTCTGGGATTCGCCCAACCAGTCAGCGCCCTAAGGGTAGCTCGTACTTCCCAGAACTCTCGTGGCCTGCGGATCTGCGCCCACTAGCCTGCGCTCCTCTCCCTCCTCTAGGGCATGCTGCCTGCAGCTGGAGTGGCACCTTGCCATTTTCTCCTGTCGATGACCTTAACTCTGGTTCACATCATGGCTCTACCATCTCTGCTTAAGTCCAGGAGTTGAAAACTGATACTGAATGCTTTTGGGTTTCTTTGATCCCTTTGTGATTTAGTATTTGGTGGACAGTGGATGGCTCCTGTCTAAACTTGTCTCTTGAGTATCACCAAATCTTATAACTCTTCCTCAGATCATCTCTAAAAGAAATTAATCGTCTTCCGTCTATACTCTGAAGTAATATTTGTTACCTCTCATGGATGATTCTGCGCTATGTGTCTAACACTTAGCACGCCACCCAGCCGCACCCTGACCAGTGCGCGTGCTCGATCGTTCTGATTAAAATGAGTCCCCTAGTCTCACATTCTTATTGACCTTTTCTCAGAAATTCTCTATTCATGCAGTTCCTGCTGCCATTTCCTATCACACATAAACTTACTGTATTTTCTAGGTCTTGCTCTAAATTGTCTTAATTTCTTAACTTGCTGGTTTTGCTCACCATCCTTTCAGCTAACAATTTATCACTTCAGCCTCTTTTTTGTCAGTGTTCTTGCCCTGCTTTCCTGCAGCTATGACGTGATAAAACTTTCAGAGTTGGTGGCACCTCTCCGCCACCTTCGCTTCTCTGTTCAGGTCTCCAAGAACACAGAGGGAAACTGGAAACCACGACCCCTAAAAGTGGGCCGCGCAGGGACCCCCGTGGCATGTCCCAGGCTGGCTGGCTTCACACCACCCCCAGCGTGTCCAGAGGGTACTTTTGTCTTGGCCATCTACATAAATTAGGTCGCTCTCCCAGAATTGGTGATGGGCTTTACCCCCTAATTCGCAGGAAAAATGGACTCTTGTGTAACAACCCCAAGCTGTTTTATAAGGGATGTGCTATGCTTTTGTAAGCCCGATTACTTATTTATTTTATTATTTATTTACTGTATTTTAGGGAAAGGTCTATAGGGCGTTCAGAGTCTCACTACTAGCTCAGACTCGCAGTAATCCGCCTGTTTACACCCTTCAAGCTCTGGGATTATAGGCCCGCGCCACCACACCCAGTCACAACTACTGTCTCAGCATGCCCGGGGGCAGGGCCTGCACCGAAGGCCTGGGAATGGCACCCGCGCGGCCTTGCAGGCCCTTTAATCTGCTGAACTACTTGGCCTGCCCTCAGGTTGTTTATTTTTTAATAGAGACTCAAACGACATTGTCAGACACATTTTAAAATTAATGATCCAGTCACGCACGGTTAATAAAAGTTCATACAGTATGCTTTAAACACGTTGTCCCGTTTTCAGTGTTCCTAGATATTTCCAGTACACCACTAAAACGTAACAGAAGACTGTATTTGCATGAAATTCTGAAACAACCTTCTTTAACGCCGCCCTTCTTAATGGCCTCCCTGCCTCTCAGCAATCTACAGCTGCTGCATTCCTCCTCACACTCGCAAGGCGCACACGTACCAGAAGAACCTCAGTGATGTAACTGCAAACTCTCCTCGGCGGTCCGCTTGTCTTGGACACAGCAGCGCTCGCAGCGCTGCCCGCAGCTCGCCAGCTCCGCGAGGACCAGGCCATCTGCAGCCGCCAGCGCGACCCCCAGCGCGGCCGTCCTGTCCGGCCCGGCTCCCGCCTGCACCCCGCGGCCTGCAGCCCCCGCTCCTCCGGAGGGCCGGCCCGCACCCGCGCCTACCTGGAAGTGCTTGGTCAGGAGCGTCTTCCGGTCGTCTTCGATCTGCCGAAACTTGGCTTTCAGGCCTTTCATTTGGGTTTCCATTTTCAGAACATACTGGAAGTCTCTCTGAGTTCTCAAATTCAGGACCTCGATGGACTGGGACATGTTCTGAACCTGTGAAAGGAAAGCGTGCGTTACTCGGGTGCGCAGAGCCCGCTGCAGGTGCGCCCCGCACGACGCCGGGTGCACAGAGCCCGCTGCAGGTGCGCCCCACACGACGCAGGTGCACAGAGCCCGCTGCAGGTGCGCCCCACACGACGCGGGTGCGCAGAGCCCGCTGCAGGTGCGCCCCGCACGACGCCGGGTGCGCAGAGCCCGCTGCAGGTGCTCCCCGCACGACGCAGGGTGCGCAGATCCGGCTGCAGGTGCACCCTGCGCGTCGCGTTCTCGGAGGACCGTCCTCCACCAGGACCTGCCAGCCACGCCAGGACGCTGCGAGACGGACCTCCCAGCCTGGGAATGACCGCGTATGCACAGGAACGTAGTACACTAAAATAAACATCGTACAAATACGATTTTCCTTGCAGGGCTTTGTAGACTTACAACTTCCCAAAGTGAAACCTCAGAAGAGTTGTTTCCTTTAGAACTAACTCTATGTCTTAAGCATCAAGGTTGAGCAGCAGGGCTGAGGCGGAGCGGCGGCTCCACGCCCAGGACGCGACCGATCCAGGCACGGATTCCACGGCAGGTTTAAGTGACCCCCAGGGTGACCGGTACACCGGCGGCAGCACCCCCTAAACTGGGTAGCCTCCTGGCTGAGGAGCCCAGAAAGCGGCCGCTGCAAATGCCCGGGGGACAGCCAGCCAGCGTAGGCGAGGCGGACGGTGCCATCCGGCCTCGGGGAGCCCTCGGCTAGGTAAAGTGGAAACAGGTGACCGTGCAGAAACGCAAGAAAGCTACCCCAATGTTTGCATCAGGAAAAGCTTGAAAGCAAAGGGAAAACGTCTAACGGGGACGTTACACGAACTGAAGGATAGAATACGAAGAGACCGCGCCCTAAGGGGCGGGCGCGGCCTGCGTGTGCTGGGTGCTCATCGCGTGGTCTTCGGAAGAGCAGCTGTGGCCGCACCTCGGAGCCGGGCGGAAAGGCAGCCGGAGCGACGCCCCCGGGCCTGAGCCGGACGCGCGTCTTCGCCAGATCTCCACGTGGCGCCTGGCCTCGCTCGGGCCCGGGAAAAGCGAGCGCAGGCACTTACGTAACTTGATTCTTTTCACTTTCTTAAATCAAATATATACAGAACTTTGAACAAGTGGAATATATATGGAACAAAAAAGTGAAGCTACATGCAGAATGGTTAAAATACCATATATGAGATATTATAGAGAAAGATTTCAGGTATATGTAGATATGCAGAGCATATATCTTAATCCATTTCACAGATTTATCTATTTTAGTACTTATAACAAAAGTTCTCATATTTTCATGTATATTAATAGGTAAAAATACTGCTTCAGAACTGGCGGTGAAGCTTTAAGTTGCCCTTTGCTTCGTAGATTTGCAAGTTACTTCATTTATTTTGTTGTGACTGCATAATTTATGTAATCAGCAAAAAGTAATTTTCATTGAAAAATGCAAACTAAAATTGGCTGATCTTTTCAGAGGCAGATTTTTGTCAAAGGGCAAAGTCACACCGCCCAGTAAGGCAGCCAGCGACAGAGTTCTAGGTGCCACATCACCCGAAGCAGCCTGCTCAGAGGAGGCAGTGGGTCCTGCCCGCGCGGCGAGCCTCGCCGTCCCACTCTTCCCATCAGACGCGTGAGATCCGTTTGATCTCCTTCTTCTGCCCTCTTGACCTGCAGTCCGGCCTCCTGTGACCACCGTCCGTCTCTGTAGGGCATGCTGAAGACGCTGACACCGCTGGTGCTGTGCATACCGAGGCTCAGACGGGAAGGTGCTCATGTTTCTGTGGTCCCAGGAGGCCAGAAGCTGACTAGTACTAGTGTCTTACTACCAGGACATTACGCACAAGCAAACATGGAATACATGCTCACTAAATATCTATTGGGTAAAATTTGCCTGCATTCCGATAGTAATAGTGAGTAAGTGGAACCATAATATTTTAGGAAGAGCGGCCCTTCCATTCACTGCTTGGACTATGGCAGAACCTGAGGAACAAATGCTTAATGTATTATTCATACACTCAGAAAATTTCTTTTTAAAAAATGTTTACTGCAGCAAAAATTATGGAGGCAACACTGAAATTGTGGCAATGTCGTTGTGAACAAAGGCAGTAGACTCAAAATCATTTTCTACCTCTGTTTATGATTAAGCATTAAAAAGGAAGATTACATTAAAACAACTGATGAACTGCCTAACTAAGGATCTGTGCCTGGAGGCAGCCATCGCCCCCAAGACTGGCAGCCTCCTGAGAACTGTGCTCACCTAGGCGGAGGGTGTGCATTTTGATGTGATGGGCATGGAAAGGTGTTCTGAACAGAGTTAAAACAGCCTCCTTCTTTTTTTTCCTATCAAGTGCATTTGGACTCAACTATCAAGTTCGTTTTCAACTTAATTTGCATGTAGGAAATTTCACTGAGAGCTAATCATGGTGTGCATATTGCATGACTTACATAATTATTCGACATTCACTTGAGATGAGGGGTCAAGACAGAGCTGTCTAACTGCACAGGACTTGCCTCTGGGTGGCCTTTAGCTCTTCCAATTGGTTAGACTTAGGATTAGCTTCTGTTTGGTTACTGAGACTGCTGAGGACCACGTTACTGATGATACGGGGCCTGGAGCTTTGATCCTCTACTTGCAGGAAGGAGCTTGGCTTGCTTTGTTTCTCCTTTCTGTCTGTCTCTGAAGTTTTGCTACAATTCAGCTTTCTACACTGGCCTCTATGGTTGATCCCTTCCCGCAAAGACCTAGGCAAACTCACTGTCCCTTCGCTGATAATTCTTGTGGACTCCTTATATTTTTTTTTAAAAAAACTACATTTTAGAAATGCTTGAAGGGAATTGTCACAAACAGGGTATTTTACATTTATATTATTGGTGAAGATGTTGTCAGGGTCTAACTCCAAAAATTACAGTTAGGAAATATGTGCCTGAAAAATGCAAAACATCTTCCACTTTATAGAGAAACGACAAAGCCTACAGACAGCTTTAGGTGAGCAATTGCAGCTTCAGCGTAAGAAACCAATTGCATTTTTCTGATATTCATTAATCTACACTTTTGCTAAAAATGATAGTGCATCACTTAAATAAATTCTGGATGGTTTTGAAAAATGTAAGGCTGATCTGACACAGCTCCACTACTTGCTGCTTTCATGAAACTGGAAAGCTTTTAACCTCAAAAACTCGCAGTCTGCTGTCATGTGGACTTAGAACAGTAACTACATCCTAAATAAGAATTAAATGGAATCATCAAGATGTAACAATGGAAAACTATTCAACATATTAACGGGAAATATTATTAATGCTTTTAAACAATAATTACTTTTGTTGACTATATCAATCCTGTTGGCCAGTGAGGCATGGGCGGCTGAAGGGCCAGTCCATGTCATGCAGGAAATAGCCCACGCTGTCAGCAGCGCTCATTGTAAACATGGCTTTGGGGCCAGTGCAGCAAACCAGGGTACCTACGTCAGGCCACTGTGAGTTCACTAGCTCTCCGTTGGCCTAAAAGCATCTCGTGGCGAACACATAACCCTAATGAATTTTACTTAAGGTTCATCATCAGCTCCGATACATTTTTAGAGGCTGACTCTTCTGGGACTTCTTTAAAATATTCAGACCCACTACCTGTTAGACAGTGTGGCCGTGGTCGTGAAGGCTTTCACCTTAACTCATGGTCTCTCTTTCTTACTCGTCCTTTGCTAATTCCTAATTCTATCACATCTCTGGTGCACACTTCATTCTGGAACTGTAGAGGAATCTTTTACTCTCTAATTTTCAGTTTTAAGAATTTTCCCCGATTTTTAAAGAAACGTTTGAATCTTCATTCAATGTTATTGCGCATGCAGTGCTAGCCTGAACCAGTGACATACAAGAAAAGCTATGCAAGTGTTTCCCAGCGTAGCTGATTTAGGAAAGCCACATGTCTCTGGGGCCTGCCTCTGGGTCAGGCTGAGCACCTCTGTAATCCCCGCTACTCAGGAGGTTGAGGCAGGAGGGCAGTGTGCTTAAGACCAAGCTGCCCAAATTAGCCGGAGCTTGTCTCAAAATCAAACAGAAAGAAGAAATGAAGAAGGAGAAGGAGAAGGGGAAGAAGAAGAGGAAGTGGAAGAAGAGGAGGAAGAAGAAGAAAACTGGGATGAGTGTGTAGCTGTGTATCCAGGATCAATTCCTAGCACCATCAACCAACAAATAAACTGCAGAAAGATATTTGGTACACAATGTCAATAATCTGAGACAAAATACAGTTTCACAGTAAACTAAAATTGAATTTAAGTCTTTTTTTAACTTAATTCCTCTGGTAACCAAACAAAATAAACTATATAATTGAAATTTTCATTAAAAAAGAAAACCAAAATTGGAAAACTGCACCTGAAATAATGGGAATTTATTTGTCATCATTTCTCACAGTAAAGAAATACGTTAGCTAGAGTCTTTAGTTTCAAAGAAAATGACCTGTGTCATTGTACTAGGACATCTACTGAGAAAGCAGGGAGAACTGATCTGCCCATAAAAGGAGGTGGAAGAGGAAAGCCAGTAAGTAACATTATCTCCAAAGAAAGGGAAGGAGATTAAACTCGGCTTTGCCTACAAACATGAAATTGGTTCCTTTTAAGTTCTTAGAATATCAATAGGTTTCCAAGTTTTATATACAGAAAAAACTTATTTTCACTACATGGCATGTGGAAGAAAGTTACTTGGTTTGACAAAGGGAATACTTGCTTGTGTATATTAACAGATTAGATTCTTTCATTTTTCTAGCCTCCTAAAATTATGATAAAAATTCCATAAATGTATGGAGTCCACAGAAATGATGTGACAAAGCAGGCAATGTTCAGCATGCTGGTGTTTAAACACCTACTACCTAACTGACCATACTGCCCTGATAAGAAGATATTTAAAATCCAAGCGCACCGTCCCCTTGCGGTGCTCTGACCAGGGCGGCAGCCTACTGTATTCAGAGCCCAGCACAGTGAGGTCTGCTTGCGGATAACTGAAGAGCCACTCACTGGGCTTTTCCCCTAACAATGCATAAATAACCTTCCCTGAGCTGACTTTTATCTGTGAAAGAGGATAAATCAAGGGCATTCTGCATTTGATTGCTATGGATCTGACTTAAGTAAATTATGGAGAATGCTATCGAGTGAAATTGAGGAGCTTAACGTTCAAAAGCATGACTTAGAGCATGACGTGTGGGGAGAGCTTGCACGCTGCGCTGTTCTTCGCCTTCTTGTGAGACTGCTAGTGGGCTCCAAATGTTTTGCCTCCAAGAGCCTACTGTGGTCTTGAGCGTGGAGGCTGGCTTTTGGCATGGAAATAGGAGCATTTGCTTCGTACTTGCAATAATGTAATAGCCATCTCCAGAGAGAAAGTTAAGAAAACTAAAAAGTTGCAGAAATAAAACAAAGTAGCAGGAAGCTTGAGATACCTCTGATGAGCAGTAGAAAAATGTTAAGTGAAAAGTGAGGGGACCAGGGAGACAGCTCAGTGGAATAAGCACTTCCCTGGCAAGCACAAGGGCCTGAGTTCAATCCCTGGTTCTGCCAAAAAAAAAAAGTGGGACCAAAATCAGAAGCCTCCTCTTCACCATTACTCCTTTGCCATATTTTCACGTCAGAGAACGGTGGTAGATTTCTAAAGTATTTCATAAGGTACACATAAGGGACTCAGACTCCTACCTTTTCCAGCAGCTGACGCAGCTGCCTGCTCTTGGCATCCCTGGAGCACAGGTTTTGTTCCGGAGCTACCACCGTGCAGATGCATCTCCCGTCAGGGTCCTGCGCCGAGCTGTACACTTGCCACCCCTCCTTGGGGCTGATCTGAGTCTGAGGAGACCAAGAGCAAACACAAACACAGACAGTCGTTACAGAACAAGGAGAGTGCGGGTGCGTCAGAGCCCAGGCAAAGCATCTCTTTGGACGGCTAGAGTTTGTGCTTTCATTCTTTAAACTCTGAATATTGAAGAGTTCACAAGGCAGGGGAGCTACATGCAGTCAGACCTTCTCCAAAAGCAGGTTTTTGGCTTCTTCTACCTCCATGTCACTAACTGCTTATCTCACGCTGCTTCTTCGTGTGTGTTCTCACAATTCCACACGAGATGCAACCTCAGAGTCACCTAATGACCATCTAATCACACGTGATTAATCTTCTGCATTAGATTTGGTAGCTTGTCCCCAACAGTAAGTGACAATTATTAGTATATCCTTTGCTGATTATTATTCCGGTGTGATACTCAGAAACAAACCCCTGCCTCAAGAAGTTTCCTTTGAAATGATGGCCCAATTATTTCAGAAGCAGGAAAGACTACTACCAAATTATGTAGCATAAAACACATCAACAATGTTTTCAAAAGACACAGACTTTCAGAAGTTGAGGACAGTTATCTTGGCCGAGTCTGCTAGCCTGATCTCCCAAGACTGTCTGCGCACGTGCACCGCACCTCTCTCAGTCCTGGCGGCGTTCTGGCTCCACCGGGGCCCGGGACTTCTTCACGGCTATGCACGGCTACCTACTTCTTCACCTGCTGTGCACCAGCAGCCTTCACACACCAGCCTGAGCCGTGCGAGCCACGCAGTCGTGCCACACCAAGTCACACGCGTGTGCCATTGCACATCCTGCTCTGCTGCTTGGAATGACTCCTGGATGCACCTTCTATCGATTCGGCCTACCTGTTCTGAAGTATTGTAGAATTATTCTTAATGTGTATTGCCTCGTACTGTTACTTGCATTGCATGTGTCTTATTTTAGTAACTAGTTTATTCCTAGCTATTAAAAAGATGCTTATTTCCTACCTATTAGCTACCTGTTAAGTGTTTGCCATCAAGTGCAAAAACAATTATCCCTATATTTTGTCTAATTATTTTTTAAGAACTTCAATAACTTTTCAAATAATGTACACAGAGGGAACTTAATTTCTTTATATGGGCATAGAAGAATTTTATTGTGATTATACTTGAAATTGTGTAAATTAGAAGTGTCTGCATTACTACACCTTAAAGTTTCATTTCTCTAGCTGCTCTTAATTTTCTGTGAGAAGTTCATTTTATTAAAAAAAAACCTACAGTTACTGAGAATGACTAGGTGTGTGTCATAGGCACGCACTCCACCAACTGCGGAGGGCTGGTGGCTCCGGGCTCAGGACAGCGTCTCCCTGGGGGTGGCCATGGCTGACAGAGCCCACCTCGCTCAGGGCAGGCTCTGCCCCGAGGAGAGCTTGCTGTCACTTCAGAGCAGTCAAAACTAGTATTGCTAGTCCCACTTCACAGGAGAGGAGACAGTGAGCCTCCCGGAGGTGCAGGTCCTACGTGGGGCTGCCGGGCAAGAGACCAAGGGGTTCCCCAGTCTCAGCGCTGTGGCACAGAAGTAGGGAGACACATGTATAGTTCAAAATTTCCTAGTTACTGTATTTTAAAAATGAAAAGAAACCACTGAAAATAGTTTAAATAGACACTTTAGCTCAATTTACCTAAAATGCTATCATTTCAACATATAACATGAAAATCATTCTAACATACTTTCTCAATATCTCTGTGTGTGTGTGTGTGTGTGTGTGTGTGTGTGTGTTACAAATGACTGAAGCTCTGCTATGTGATAGCTCTATCACTGAGCTGCAGACACAGAAAATTCTTCTTTTTTAAAACCTTTTGAGACAGGATTTTACTATGTTGCCCAGGATGGGCTTGAACTTGTGATCCTTCTGCCTCAGTCTCCCAAGAACCTACAATTACCATCTTTACTGCTACTTTATTTATTTATTTTCTGTATTTAGGACAAAGTTTACAGGGTCTGCAGGGTCTCACTGCATTGATCAGACTCATAGTGATCCTCCTGTTTCAGCCTCCCAAGTGCTGGGATTACAGGCCAGGCTCAGCTGCAGTCTCAGCATACCAGGCGAGCAGGGCTGGCCTGGCATGCAGGGCTTGAACTACGGCTACTGTGCTGTGCCTCACGTAGCTTTGGACGGTGTGTCTCTGGTCTCTCTTTTAATTCCTTTGGAATGTCTATGTTGATATGATTCTCACTGTTCGTACGATTGATTTCAGTACATTAGTCATATAGATATTAGAAAAACAGCCCTAGGGAAGGTTGAATAGCTCAGTGCATTACAGTGCCTGCTGGGAGGTGCAGGGGCCAGGGGTTAGATCCCCGGGCCTGCCATGCCGACCCTGTCCCCAGTGCACACTGAGATGGTGATTGAGATGGGTCGTGGTGGTGCACACCTGCAATCCCAGCTCTTGGGAGGCTGTAAATAGGCAGATCACTGCAAGTCCGATCTAGTAGTGAGACCCTGAACACCCTATAGACCCTTCCCTAAAGTACAAAGAAGAAGAAGGAGGAGGAGGAGGAGGAGGAGGAGGAGGAGGAGGAGGAGGAAGAGGAAGAGGAAGAGGAGGAGGAGGAGGAGGAGAAGAAAGAAAGAAAGAAAGAAAGAAAGAAAGAAAGAAAGAAAGAAAGAAAGAAAGACAGCCCTGAGGGCTTACGTAGGTGACCCATTTCTTTTGTGAACACATTCCTTGTTTAACAGCCTGTTCTACTAGCTATTCAGACTTAGGATTCATTGCTTTGACTCAGAACCTGACTTTTGTGGTAAAGTTCTTGTTTATAGAGGCTCAGTGTCTTTTGTACCTCGTTTATACAGTAATTTTGCTGCTTTTACTGTATAGTACTATAGTTTAATGTTCTATACATTACATGAGTGCATGGAAGAGCTATTCAAGTAAAAAGAAAGTAATCAACTTGGAGTTCCTTTACAATTGTTTTCTAAATATTGTGGGGTGTGTACTATATCCAGTTTATCATTTAGTGACCCATTAATTGAAATACCTCATCACTTGAATGGAACTCAGTTGTTAAAGGGGGACTGTCTTTGGAATTACTTTTATTTCTGTGGAAGCATAAGATAAATCATTTGGGTCTCCTCTTGTCAGCAAATCTCAGTAGAGATTATCTATAGAGTGAGGACAGAAATAGGCTGGCAGTACAGTTCCAACAGCATAATTCAATGTTTAAAATACTTAACAGTGTGGGATTAATGTGTCTGGATGTGGGCCTGCTGGTTTCTCACACTGGACACAAATCTCAAGTATGTCATAAAGTTAAGGCTTTGCATCAGAATAAATTTAGCATTTGGACAAAAGAGCGGAGATCACCCAATTATAATATTAAACTATTTTAACGGCAGTGCAAACACCAATTATCAAACTTGGCAGCATTAATGTTGATGGGTGCTTGCTGAGTTCTTGGATGAAGAGTGGGGAGCTTGTTACAAAGTTGGGGGTCAGCCCCTCTCTGGAACAAGAAGCAGGAAGGTGAACAACGTCTGATGCTCATTTTATAGTCTCCTTGCAGTATCTGCTTAATAGCAGTGAGGCTGCAGGTTCCTTTGTACTCACCACTGTCTTCCTGGAGGATCATGCCAGGAGTCATGGCCTTCTTTGTTGCAGTTAGAATGACGTAAACTATAAAAAGCCACCCTTTTGGCAACAGAAAAGGCAAATCAAAAGCAGCAAAGCCCCATTCCATAAGGGGAGCGCCTGGCAGGCTCTGCACTTTGCCAGGCCCTCGGTGATCAGCACAGGGAGCACCTCAAGTGCTTCAAGTACTTTAGGGCATCCGAGCCGGTCCTGGAAAGAACCAGACACAAAACTATGGCATCAGTTGGAAGAAACATATTTAGAAGGGATTTTTTTTAAATGCCCCTGCAAATGCCCGTGCATACCCTAACCTGAACTTTTAAGAGCAATTATTCAGGTGTCAATAAAACCCATATTAAGAACACTTCATTTATGGAGCTCTTTGCACACTGTAGTTGGTGTGCTTTTTTTCAGCCTTTGAATATCACAGTGACCTGGTGGACGATCCTAACCATTTTCCTGGTACGGAAAGAAGTGCCATGAGTTTTACAGATCTCGCAGAGAAAAGTCTCCAGAAGTGGGCATTTGCACTTGTGCGGCCTGATTTCGGAGCTCCAAGCTTAGCCACTGTGCCGCTCACTAACCATCCCCCTCTCATCAGTGGATGGCAATGTAACCTAAAGGCATTTTCCAAACCGCTGTGAGGCCCGGCGTTTGGATCTGGTGTGTGCATCTGGCAAGTGTATTGCCAACAGAAGCATTAGAAACTACAGAGATGACTGAAGAAGTTTGCTTTGAATCTTTTGTACTAATTAAACGAACTAAATGAACTACTTAGACATTTTTAATATTACAAAACTCATGAAATACTTAAGAGAACTCTTAGCAAGAACATTCAAACAATAATTTACCAATTTCATTTCAACTCTCAGTTCTTTGCTTATAATTGCAAAGTTACGTTTTGCGAAGGTGAAGTGAACTTGTGAGGGTTTTTCCTAATCATTCGGGTGCTGCATGTTGGGAAAGACAATTGGGCCACACTATTCAGTTAGTCAGTGTTGTGTATGAGGTGCATCAGCCTTCTCTAACTTGCAGTCTAGAGCTCTTTAGGTCCAGCCTCTGCAGATAAATGCAGGCTGTCGCCTATACTCCTTCACCGAGAGCCATGTGTGAGGAGACAGTCCTGGACAGGAGCAGCATGTCCTGCAAGTGCTGGGCATCACCGAGTGTCACCCAGGGGACAGTTGGAGGAAGGGCTCAGCAAGACGCAGTGCACCCAGCACTTCTGTGAAATGCCTGCAGCACTTCTTCAGGGCCTGGCACTGGGAGTAGGCAAGGGAGAAAAGGCTGATCTTATGAGCAGAAGAAAAATCACCGGGGTCTATGTTGTTAGATTCATGGTTTTTGCTGTCTCTGTATGTTCTACGCAGGTGCAGACCAAAGCAAAAGAAATAAGGAACCAATCTACTAAA